TTCAATCGACTCGTTCATTGATGTGTGTGTTGTTGTTGTGCGACGCGCGTAAAGCTGCCCCCCTCTTGCCCCCTTCTACAGCGGCCTTTGCATCTCACATCAGTCGAGAGCACTCAGGTTTTCACTGGGCCGCTCAATCCGACGCGCCGGCGTCTGCTGCTGCTGCGACGCAGTTGCCGCCGCGCCGCCAGCGCCACCGCCGCCGCCGCCGCCGTTGCCGCGATTCTTGGGCGTAGCGGCCGGCGCAGAGGGCGCCGCCTCGGGCGCGCTCGAGACGTTTGCCTCTGCGGGACCGGCTTGACCGGGCAGGTTCTGCACGCCGAAGAAGTTAAGAAGCGGGTCGTCAGCGAAAACAAGGGAGTGATCGAGCGCGTTGCCCTTTGCGAGCTTAGGGAAGGGGGGGGGGGGCACGCACTGCAATGGCTGCTTGTCCCGTGCTCTGAGCCTCGCTGCCATCGACGGCACGCGGCTTCTTGCTCTTCTTGGGCGCGGGAATGTCCCATGCCCAGAGCGGGATGAACGAGTCGACCTTTGAGAGGGAGGAGGGGGGGTTAGGGTCAGCTGGGGCCGGCGAGCCGCAAGAGGCCTGCACCAGCCGCGCAAAGAGACTCGACTCACAAAGCCAACATCCTCGAACAAGTTGGGAAAGATCCAGACGCCGGGGCGCAGCACGACGAGGGAGATGCAGTAGAAGATGAGGCGGAGGATGGCGAGGCCGAAAAAGGCACCGATGAGGCCCAGCACGCCGATGGAGAGATACCACACGCCGACGCGCAGCGAGGCGGGCCAGAGCGGAAACATGACGCCGGCTAGCATGAGGAGAATCATGCCGAAGCCCGAGAGCTGCAGCAGCAGCTGCGAGCCGTCGTAGAACCAGGCGTAGTACTGTTTTGCGCGCGGGGTTAGTGGAAGCAAAAGGGGCGAGGGCGATTAGCGGAGAAGTTGGAGAAAGCATGCAAACACAGGCTGGTGTGGGGGACAATGATGGCCCAGAAAGGCGCAAGACCCATGGCAAGCCCGAATGCTAGACAGGCCCCGTCGCACGTGCACGAAGAGCCAGCTTCAGCTGGAGGCGTGCGGCCCCCCCCTTTGGGGCCGGGCCCCCCCCCCCCCCAAAGGCGTGCGTTTGAATGCGCAAATGGCACCCCGTCCTCCGCCGCCGCCCGCCCGCCCCCTCCCCCCCTCTGGCCGCCGCTGGCGCAACAACAACAACTCACGAGGTCCTGCCGGAAGAGCTGCATCTGGTTGACCTGGATGTGGCGCTCCTTGCCGCCCGACTCTGCGCGGTCGACGCGCAGGAAGAAGGCATAAGGGATGACGGCGTGCAGCGCCTGTTCCGCCTGCTCCTCGTCGGCAATGGGCGGCAGCGTGCTCTTCTTCTTGGCCTGTGCCTTCTTGTAGGCAGGCGCCAGCAGTGCCTTGACGGCGCCGCTGCCCTTGAAGTGATCGCGGCGCTGCCCGCCCAGGAGGCCGACGCGCGTCTTGGGCCCCGTGGAGGAGGCGCGCAGAAACTCGACGAGGGCACGCGCGGCGGGAGGCGCGGCGGATTGCTGCTCCTGCGGCGCGTGTCAGATGGAAGGAGGCAGACCCGAGGCGCCAGAAGGACGCACCATGGCGAATGGGAGGCGGGCGGAGGTGGGCGAGGCGCAAGAGGTGGGAGAGGGTCAAGAAGGAGGGCGCAATCGCAGCCCACGCGCGGCGCCACGCTTGCGGCGCCCGTGCGAGGAATGCGCACGTGACGCCGGCGCGCGGCGGGCCGTGTTGGCGTGACGCGCCTCCGCTCGCCGAGAGCAACACCTGCGCCTGCCACGCGCGGCACGCATCCCGCGCCTCACCACCACGCCGCCATGTCGTCGCTGCCCGACTTTGTCCTGGCCGACGAGCTGCTCGCCGTGCGCGATGCAGACTACGCCGTCGCCGGCGAGCAGCCGTGGAGCAGCAGCGCCGACTGCGACGCCGTCGGCGCGGCCCTCACGCGCCTCGTCGATGCCCTCGCCGCCGCGCCCGCGGCCGTCGAGGAGGCGCACACCTTCGCCCAGCTCCTCTCGCTCGTCAAGCACTACGCCCTGCTCGGCGGCGTGCAGCGCATCACGCTCCTCGACGCCCTCGCCTCGGCCTACACGGCCGCCCTCGAGGGCGCCGCCGCCGCCCTGCCCGAGGGCACCGACGCCTACCGCGCCTGGGCGCCCGTCCTCGAGCGCCTCGCCTTTGCCCTGCAGTGGCTCATCCACGTCGCCGAGCGCGCCGCGGGCACGCGCGAGGAGCGCGCCGCCGCACCCGTGCCCAAGGGCCGCCGAGGGCGCGGCGCCAAGGCCGGCATGCCCGCGACGCGCCCGGCCGCGGCGGCTGCCTCGGCCGCCAGCGCGGATCTCAGCGGCTACGACTGGGAGGGCGTGCTACCCGGCCTGCTCATGCTGCTCGCCCGCTCCCTCAAGCTCAGCACCGCCCTCCTCTTCCCCGCCGCGGCGACTCGCGATGCCTTCGTTGCGTGCGCGCTGCGCCCGGCGCTGCTGCTGCAGGAGACCGAGGCGCATCTGCGCGTGCCGGCGATCAAGGCCGGCATCTTCCGCGTCGTGTGTGCCGCCGTCAAGGGCCACGCGCAGGCGTTTGCCGTGCAGGCCTCCATCGCCCAGGCGCTGGCGTACTACGAGCATCTGGCCGAGCCCATGGCCGAGCTGCTGGCGCTGCTGCGCGCAGAGTACGACTACGAACGTCTGGCCGACGACGTGCTGCGCGACGTGGGCGCGCGCGAGTTTGGCGGCATCGACACGCGCAGTCCGCGCGCCTTTGCCCGCTTCCTCGTGCGCTTCACCGAGCTGTGCCCGCGCACGGTGCTGCGCTCCATCAGCCTGCTGATGAAGCACCTGGACAGCGAGGTGAGTCTTGCTTTTTTCTTGCACGTGTGTGTGTGTGGAGGGCGCGAGAGCTGGAGGTTGTGCACAAGTATGTGGCAGGAGTTGTTGACGCGTGCGCTGCGACAGTCCTACCCGATGCGCAACGCGCTGCTCGAGATCCTGGGCTATCTCATCAAGGAGCTGACCTCGACGGACGATGCGCTGCCGGGCGCGGCGGCGGCAGAGGTCGAGGGCCTCGCCGCCCTGGACTCCACTAACGCCATGGGCGGCAACGCGGGCAGCGCAGACGCGCAGCGCGGCAGTGCAGAGGCGCGCAAGAAGCAGGTCAAGCACTTCTGGGAGCTCCTCTTCGAGCGCTTCCTCGATGTCAACTCGTACGTGCGCGTCAAGTGCGTGCAGGTGTGCACGCGCCTCTGCGAGTGAGTTGGATGCACATCGTGCGATGGTGTGAAGCTGCCCCCCCCCCCCCCTTCTGGGTCCTGACTGACGTGGTTGCGCCAGCCTGCAAGCCAAGTTTCCGTCTCAGCGCACGATGCTCGCCGACTTTGGCGTGCAGGCACTGCGCGACAAGAGCTCGAGTGTGCGCAAGGCTGCCATTGCGCTGCTCACGCGTCTCATCCTCACGCACCCCTACGGCGTGCTGCACGGCGGCGACCTCGACGAGCCCGAGTGGACTGCGCGCCTAGCTGTCGTCGACGCCGAGCTCAAGACGTACGAGGGTCTGCTTGACCTGCCGAATGAAGGCCCAGATGAGGAAAATGAGGAGGAGTCAGAGGACGACGACGTCGAGGACTCGCTTGTCATGGCGACGCCTCGCAAGCGCGCCGAGCGGCGCACGAACAAGCGGCGCTCGAGCGCAGGGCTCGACTTGATCCAGGGCTCGTCTCTCAGCAGCGAAGACGCGGAGAAGGTCATGCGTCTGCGTCTGACGCGGCGCTACTATGCCGATGCGCTGCACTTCATCGCACAGCTCAGCGGCGCCATGGACGAGCTGGTGCAGCTGCTGGTCAGCAAGAGCAAGGCCGAGGTGCTCGAGTCGATGGAGTTCTTCCGCGTCGCGCACGAGTACCGCCTGCCTGGCGCCACGGTCGGCGTACGCAAGATGGTGCACCTGATTTGGACGAAGGACAATGCCCTCGTCATGGAGGATGGCGCGCAGCTCAAGGGCATTCGCTCGCGGCTGCTCGAGGTCTACCGCGCGCTGTACTTTGAGCCGCTGCCCGACCTCTCGCCGCGCGACAATGTGGCGCGCATCGCACGCAACATGGTCGAGCGCACCTTTGGCGCCACGCTCGCCGAGCTGACGAGCCTCGAGGAGCTGCTGCGCACCATGTGTGCCGAGGACATGGTCCACCCCGACGTCGTCAACAAGCTCTGGGCCGTGTATGGCGCGCCGCGTGCCATGCCGCGCGCGCAGCGCCGCGGCGCCATCATTGTGCTCTCCATGCTGGCGGTGGCGCGCCGCGAAATTGTCGCAGACCACATCGAGGCACTGCTGGGCGTCGGCCTCGGTCCGCTGGGCGCACGCGACATTGTGCTGGCAAAGTACACGTGTGTGGCCCTGGCACGCGTGGGCGGCAGCATCAAGAAGGTCAAGGGTGCCCTCTCCGACGAGCAGGTGCGCTTCCCCATGACGCACCCCATGTTCGCCAAGCTGCGCGCCGCCGTCATGTGGCAGAACGGCACGGCGGCCAATGGCGAGTGGTTCAGCCTGGCGGAGAACGCCATTCAGACGATCTACCAGCTCGGCGAGCAGCCCGACGCGCTCTGCGCCGAGATCGTCAAGAGCATGACGGCACGAGTGTTCGGACCGCGCGGCCCGACGCTCGTCAACGAGGAGCAGGAGGGCTCGGTGCGCGGCCTGTCGCCTCTGCGCGAGGACGCCGAGGACGAGGAATCCACCTCTGACGGCGCACGCACGCCCGCGCAGCGGCCTGGCTCGCCAGGCGGCACGCCTGCGGCGTCGGCCGCGAGCGAGGCGGGCGCCTGCTCCTCCAAGGCGCCGGCCTTTGGCCTGGCTCAGCTGCTCTTCGTCGTCGGCCATGTGGCGCTCAAGCAGATCGTCTACCTCGAGCTCGTCGAGCGCGAGTACAAGCGTCGCAAGGCCGATGCCGACAAGGCCAAGCTGAGCGAGAAGAGCAGCAACGCACAGGCCAGCAGCGAGGCGGACGAGCAGTCGGGCACGGCAAAGAAGGGCCGCAAGGGCAAGAAGGGCGCCGCTGCCGCCGCTGCTGCTGCTGCTGCCGTCGAGGCTGACGCAGCCGCAAAGGAGAACGACATCGAACAGGTGGCGGGCAACGCCGAGGACGAAATCGGCGACGTCGTCGGCGACGTGCGCGAAAAGGAGCTGCTCTTCGGCCCGCGCAGCCTGCTGGCGCTCTTTGGCTCCGTCGTGGCGCAGATCTGCAGCAGTCCAAAGTCGTTTGCCAACGACTATCTGCGCAAGGCGTCCGTGCTCTCGATGTGCAAGTTCATGTGTGTCTCGTCGGAGTACTGCGAGGCGCATCTGCCGCTGCTGCTCTCCATCCTCACGCACTCGGGCGACGCCGTGGTGCGCTCCAACATCGTCATTGCGCTCGGCGACATTGCCGTGTCATTTGGCAGTCTCGTCGACGAGAACTCGGAGCGCCTCTACGCCGGCCTGGCGGACCGCGATCTGGGCGTCAAGAAGCACACGCTCATGGTGCTCACGCACCTGATCCTCAACGGCATGATCAAGGTCAAGGGCCAGCTGGGCGAAATGGCAAAGTGCATCGAGGACGACGAGGAACGCGTCAGCGATCTCGCAAAGCTCTTCTTCTCGGAACTCGCCACAAAGGAGAATGCCGTATACAACAACCTGCCCGACATCATCAGCCACCTCAGCATCGGCAAGCACGCCGTCGACGAGGAGACGTTTGCAAGCACCATGCGCTACATCTTCCAGTTCATCGACAAGGAGCGCCAGGCCGAAAACGTCGTGGAGAAGCTGTGCCAGCGGTGAGTTGCTGTGTCGCTGCGGGCCTGAGTCCCCCCTCCCCCCCCCTTCTCTTTCCCTAGCTGACGCTTCTCTCTCCGGCACAGCTTCCGCCTCACAGCAGAGCCGAGGCAGTGGCGCGACATTGCATTCTGTCTGTCGCTGCTGCCGTACAAGAGCGACCGCTCCATGAAGCGCCTGATCGAGGGCCTGCCGTTCTGTGCGTCGTGGCCGGAGCGCCTGCATCCGCGTGCCTGACGCCACCCTGTTTGCTCACCCGTTCTCTCTCGCGCAGACCAAGACAAGCTGCACGACGCCGGCGTGTTCGAGGCCTTCTCGCAGATCGTGCAGAAGGCCCGCATGCGCGGGCCCGGCGGCGGCGCGGCGGCCGCAGCGGCCGCGGCGGGCATGGAGGGCGACCTGGTCGAGTTTGAGCAGATCCTCGAGCAGTACCGCTCAAAGGGCGAGGAGGAGAGCGCCCTCGCAAAGATGGCGTCGAAGAAGCGCGCGCGCGGCAAGCGCGGCGAGGCCACGTTCAAGGCCGTCAAGGCGGCGCCGGCGGCGCCTCAACGCCGCGCGAGACGCCGCGTCGTCGCCACCAGCGACACGGACGAGGGCTCTGAGTGAGACGTCTCGCTCTCTTCCTTCCTCCCCTCCCCCCCTCTTCTCCTTGGCGCCCCCTTCTCCCCCTTCTCCGCCCCATGTATTTTGTATCTCTCTGGACGTTCGCAGCGCCTGCCATTGCTATTCCTGCTGGGCCTGCTTCTCTGCCTCGTGCTCGTCCTCGCGCGGCGCTGCGCTTCCGGCGTTGCTGCGCGCACTCCACCAGCCCGAGAAGTCGAGTCTGAGCAGCAGCTGCTCGAGATGCCTTCGCGCCGCGCTGTCGGCGTCGAGGCGAGCCTCGGTGGCGCGCGCCCGGTGCGCCTCGGGAGGCGCCGTGCCGGAGATCAGGCCGGCACCGGCGCTGAGACTGGTGCTGCCTGCTGCGGCGGCGCTGGCGGGCCCTGAAGAGGCGTCGAGGAGCAGGTCGAAGAAAGCGTCCAGATTCGCAGAGAGCGTCTGGGGCAGAAACGAATGATGCGTCAGCGGAGGAGCTGCCGCTGGTCTGCTGCTGGGCGCGACTGGGCTCACCTCGGCAACCTCATCGAGCGCCGCCTTGCGCTCCTTGACCGTCCGGCTCCCGCGCTTCGCGTGCTCCTCGTCGTCATCGACACCTGCTCCGTCCATGAGTAGGTCCGGCAGCACATCTCCTCCCCAGCGCTCGACGAGCCCTACGAAACGAGCACACGCGTCGAGAATGGCGCGGATGGCGCGGCTGGCTTGCGGCGAGGAGAGCAGGCCTGGAGGGGAGAGATCGAGAGTGATGCATGTTCAGATGAAGGGATGGAAGATGCGCAAGCCTAGCGGGGACTCCCACTCACAGCCATCCAGCACAAATGCCAGAAACGCAGCATGCGTCGCTCGCAGCGACGCAAAGTCCAACACGCTCTCGTGAGCTCCTCCCGTCGCCGTGCTGCCCTGCAGCGTGTGTGCCGTGCGCACGGTTCGCGAGGGTGCGACTGATGGAGCACGTACGCTCTTGCCTGCGCGCGACGCCGGTGCCTTGGCCGATGGCGCCGCGTGCTGGTGGAGATCAGGCGAGGAAGCGTCTCCACCGGTGCTGCGAGAGGCGCGTAGCAGACTTCGCCCTGAGGCTTGCGCCGAGAGAGGCGCCGTCTCTACGTGTGCGACCTCAAGCTGCTCCACTAGACGCGTGTACTGCACGTCGATGATGTCCGTCTGCGCTCACAAAAAAAAAGCGTCAATGTTTGCTCCCGCCCCTGCTGTCAGTCCTCCGCGATGGCAGACGCACCTGAAAGTGCCCCGTCAACGCCTCAAGCACCCAAAGACCCTCTCTTGCGGTGCCCCAGGCTTTTCTCAGCAGCGTCGCACGCGCTTGTTCCTCGGCGCGACTGCTGCCTCCCTCGCCCGCGCCCGTGAAGCGTCTTCGCACGCGCTGCGCCTTCGACATGCGTGTCCAAGTCTCTCGCAGCCTCGTGGCTGTGGAGCGCAGAGCGAGCAGGTACGAGCAAAGCTGCGAGTAAGCACTTGCATCCTGTGTCGTGAAGAGGAGGTCCAGCGGATAGGGCGGCGTGTAGGCGAGGACGAAGGGCATGCCCAGCGGCACGTCGGAGAAGGCCACGGGCACGGTGCGGCCCTTGGCAACGGAGACGCGCACGTGAGAGAGCAGCTCGGAGGGCGTGTCGGAGAGCGCGGCGGCACGGTGCAACGCTGCCTCGACGTCGGCCGCGCGGATCGTGCCCGAGGCGGCCGTGCGACTGAGCAGAGCAGAGCGCTTGAGCTGTGCTAGTTCGGAGAGGAAGGACGTGTGGAAGAGGCCGGAACGGTGGAGGAAGTAGAGGCCACTGCGTCGTAGGCTCTTGTCAGCAGACTGGGCTCTTGAAGCGCAAAGAGAGAGGGAGAGAACGGACTCACAGACCCTCAACTGCCTCCCTCACATCCTGTGGCCGGAGCACATTGCCCCACATCCATTCTCCCACTTCATCTCGAATCATCTCGACGCGTCGTTGCAGCTCGATCGGAGTGGACAGTCTGCATTCCTCCTGCAGCAGGAGCGCTCGATGCGCCTCGCGCAGCGAGCCAGGCAGAGCGACCGAACGAGGCAGAGCGCGCAGAGCGCGTCCTACGGAGAGGATTGCCTCGGCCGACTGCCTTGCGAGCGCTCGAGGCACGGCGAGCGGCGCCCATGTCCACGCGCCTCCTCTGGCCGCCGCCATGGCCTCTTGCTCCTCGACGCGCGCGGCCACGAAGAGGCCGGCGGGGCGCAGGTCGCACATCCAGCTGCGACAGCGACGCATCCAGACGCTCTCGGCGGCAAGAAGCAGCGCCTCGAGATGTGTGCGACTGGGTCCCACTGCCGCGGCTGTGCGTGCGGCCAGCACATCCAGAAGAGGTCCGGGTCGCCATCGTGTCGGCGTCGTCGACGCTTGCGAGGCTCCTGTTGTGCCGCCGTCGCCGGCGCGGGCGAGGAGACTGCTCGAGGAAGGCGGCGAGCCGAGCTGCTCGGCCAGCGCGGCGAGGGTGCGAAGCGGAGCTTGCCACGTTGAGAAGTTGGCCTGCAGTGCCGCAAGCGACGTGGCTTGCGCATTGCCGCTGCTCATCTCACCCACGGCCTTGCCGTCCTCCTCCTTCTTCTGCGGCGCAGCTCGCCAGCGCAGCACATCCTCGAGCGTGCGCTGCACATCGGCGTCCCACAGCTGCAAGCGTCGCAGCATGGCAGCAGCAACGGCGGCCTCTTCATTGCCCAGCATCAGTTCTTGCTGCTCCGCCGCCGCCTCCTCCTCTTCTCGCGCCGCCGCGGCATGAACGCCTGGCGCTGCCTTTCGTGCTCGTCTGCGCGTCTCGTCCAGACAGCGCGTGGCCCACTCTCGCGCCACGCGCGCATCGTGGGCGAGGGCCGCGAGATATCGCAGCGCCGCGGCCTCGCCGGGGTGGAGATGCGGCGCCAAGAGTGGGTGCAGCGGCGCGTGCGCCGGGGCGAGAAAGAGCGGCGACGAGTGTCCGCTGAGATGCAGCAGCAGCTCGCAGAGCACCATGGCTGGCTGCCGCGTATGGGGGCGCCGGAGATGCGACGACGCCACAGAGGCAGACGCCCGCAAGGTGCGCGCAGGCGGTGTGCGCTGCACGAGGGTAGAAGCGGGTTGGGCCAGGCGAGGCCGGGGATGAGAGCAGGCCGTCAAGGTGTTGGTCGCCTCGCCGCCGGCTCGCGACACGCGTCGGTGCCGTTCCCACGCGCCCTCCTCACGCGTCGCGGGGCCTCGCGCCGACTCCCGCTGCTCCTCCTGCGCTCCTCGCAAGCAGCGCCGCAACTCCGAGCTGCTCTTCATGCTGCGGCGATCCTCGCCCGCCGTCGGCAATGCGCATCGGCGTCGCAGCGGCGGCGGCGAGATGCTGCGCTTCCAGATGCTTCCCGAGGTGGCGCACCTCGAGGTGGAGGAAGATGGATTGCGCCTCCCACGTCGTCGAGGCTGAGCTCCAAAAGACGCGCCTAAGCTTGGCTGCGAGGAGGCGTCCTCGAGCGATGTCTCACCTGCACGCTTTCGCACAACGCATTTGCATGACACGCACCACCCTCCTCCGCAACGCCGATGCTCCTCCCGCGGCGGCAGCCTGATGCCGGGTGAGAAGCATGGTGCATGGTGGAGAAGCAGCAGGCGGGGGCGTCGGAGGCCCTACGACGCCTCTCTTCTGGCGCAGCACACGTGGGCCTTGGGGGCTCGGAGGCGCGCGCCATCGCTGCTGCCCCTCCTCGACGCCGCACGGCGTTACGAGTCCAGTGCGGGCCGGCCCGCGTTGCCGATGCTCACATGCAGCAATTCACTCATCTCGGCAGCCGCGCGGCACACCGGGCAAGAGTTGGGCGTCATGCGACAGGAGAGGGTGCAAGCAATTCTGCCCGCTGCCGCACCCGCTGACGTCTGGGCCTCGGGCGTCAAGAGGGAGATGCGAGAGGGGGTGCGTGCGATGGCGGCGGCAGGCGCAGCGCGACAGGAGGCGGGCGCCTCTCTGCGCGGCTGCCGTCTAGGCTTCCGCGGCGCGGCGGCGTGGCACGAGGTGGTCTAAAGTGGGCCCTGTGCGGCAGCCGCGGAGGTCCTTTGTCACTCGGCAAGCGTGCAAGCGTGCATGAGAGATGCAGCGCAGCTTCATGCTTGCAGAGAGACGAAGAAGGCAAGTCGAGTCTGCCCAAGGGCGCGGGAGAAGCGGGAAGGACCTTGTGGTGCGTGCGGCATCGGGCCGGCGGCTCACGGAGCACCAGGCACGGCAAGAGGAGTTGGAGCGTGCTCCACCAGCGTCAGGGCGGAGCTGCCCGCCTGCCGCCTGCCGCCTGCCGCGCCGCGTGCGGCATGCTGATGGGGGGCAGAGCGGCAGGAGAGCCGCGTCGCCTCGCGGTGCGCGCTGCAGCTGCGATGCGCGCTGCAGCCGGACGCGGATCTCCGCTGCGCCACACGAGACTTGCCGCTTCAGGCTGCAGCTCGTGCGGGGGATGAAGCCGGCTCAGGAGCAGTGTTGAGGCATGCGTCCGCGACTCGGCGATGACGCGCCTTGCGCGCCGCACGCAAGGATTGCGCGGCGAGGCGTTGTGCGGCGCGCGCGCGCGGTCGGGGCTCGGAGAGGAGTGGATGCGAGCGGCGGAAGAGCGTGGAGGGGGGGCGCACCACGAGGGAAGAGGAGGACAGACGACAGGAGCAAGCAGCACAGCCTGGAGTCGAGTGGAGTGCTCTTTTCTCGGCGCGAGCTGAGCAGCAGAGAGGCGCCGCACACGCCGCAGAAGGCAGGCCGAGAGGGCGAAGTTGGCTGCATGCGCTCGCTCGCATGAAGCCTGCGGCTGGCGGCTGCCCGCGTCGTCGTGCCGGCCCGCCGGCTGCCGCTGCGGGACGCGTCTTGCGGCGTCATGCGCATCAAGCATGTGGTGCCTAGCACAAGGCCAGCTCGTCCCGCTGCGGCCCCTCACAGCACGGACGCCGCAAGCCCGCGGCCCAGCGAGGCCAGCGTGGGGCGTATAAGAGGCAACGCTCCGCCCGTACTCCAGCTGCTTGTTCCCCTCACCCAGCTCTCTCCACACCCAGCCGCAGCCTTCTCCTCGCTCCCTCTGTCTCGCTCTCACCCAGCTCTCTCGCACCTCCACCTCCCCCTCTTTCTCTCACGACGATGCAGCTCTCCCTTCTGCTGCCCTTCCTGCTGGCGCTCGGCGCCGCCGCTCTGCCCGCGCCCTCGGCGCTGCTCGACGAGCGCGACGTGGGCATTCTCAACTGCACCACCGTCTACACTGGCCCGCTCTCCTTTGCCGGCATCGAGGGCGACGCGGTGGGACAGAAGGGCTATGCGGCCTTCGTGGGCAAGCGTGATGCACAGGGCAGCCAGAGTGAGTTGCCCCGGCGCGATGCAACGAGAGGCAAGCGAGATGGCCAAGGAGCGGAGGGCTGATGACCGAGCCGACCCACAGTCCTCTTGACGCGCACGGCCGACGGCAAGGCAGTGGAGCCGCAGTACTTCAACGTGAGTGTGTTTCCTTGTCCGCTCGTTTGGCGCTGTAGCGGCGGCGGCGGCGGCTGACGCTTCTTCGCTTGGCAACTTGCCCCCACAGTTCAAGAAGTGCGTCTCCAACAAGCCGCCTTCCTTCATGGCCTACGGCGGCGACTCGGGTCACATTTCGCCGGTGAGTCTCCCGTAGTGGGCATGTTGCGAGCGCTGGAGAGGCGGGGGCAACGGGGC